CCCCAGCCCCGCGCCGCCCCTGCCCGTCCTCCCCCAGCCCCGAGGACCCTGCAGGCATAGCCGGAAGGAAGCATGTGGTCAGTTTCCTCTCCCCTCTAAAAGTGCCTGCGGCTTCTCTAAGAAACCCGTCAGCTTCTCATGTTCCCTTAGGGTTCTGGAAAGAGGAAAGTCCTGTGGGTGTCACACACCAGATTGCAAAGATATCCTCAGGGGAATCTGGGAAGTGAGACTTAATCGCACAAGGAATACAGTGAAAGCCCTGTGTGCCCCGCAGCCCTGCAGCTCCCGTCCCTGTAGAAGTAAGAGTCTCCCAAGAGGTTGTCTTCCCTCCCAGCTGGATTTTCATTAAAAAGCCCAGCTCCGAGAAGGCCCCAGGAGACCCCGGGACCCTCATGGGCACCCCCGCCCCAGCCTGCGTTTGCAAACACAACTTACACGCCTGCCTCAGGGTCCTCTCCCACCTTGACCAGAGCCAGAGACACAGAGCTGGGCTCAGCCAGGTTCTCCCCAGGGGCCTCGGCCCACCCACGACGGCCCCTGGCAGGTCCCACCTGCATCGTCGCTTTGCTCGGCGTGGAGCCCAGGGTGTGGATAAGGTTTCCCTGCATTTTATCTCCGGGTCTTGCTGGGCTAAGGTTTAAAAACACGCGAAGACAGCAGGGGCTAGAACCAGCACAGCAGTGAAGTCACTCAAACTGAAACCCTGGGTTTGTCTCCATAAATGAGACTCAGAATTCGAATGGCAGGTGAGCTTTGCGGCTGCCCCTGTTTTGCAGAGGATAGGAAGAGGCCAGCTTTGCTCCCGAAGCTTCTAGTCCCCTCCAGAACAGTCTTTTGCCCCCTATGTCCTGCTGGCCTCTGGGCTCTGGCCTTCTCCCCTTTGGGGGCCATTGCCCTGTGATGATTTTCCTTCCAACGGCCTCGGGTGCCGTGGGCTCCACACTCAGGCCATGTCTGGGGAGGCCCAGGCCCCGGAGAGGGGGTGGCGCTGACCAAGGACCACCCAACGCCCTGCCCGTCTCTGTCCCTGCAGGTCCTGTACAATGTGTTTGAATCTTTCGTGGCGCTGGGAGGTGACAATGTGACTGGTGTGGACTGCGTGAAAGGCATAGGTGTGTAGCCGTAGGTCGGGGGAGTGGGCGGCTGTGTCTCCTCTGGGGCCGACTCTCTTCTCTCCACGCCTGGCCCGCAGCCCATGCAGAGAAAAGCTTTGCACTCAAAGCTGCTGCACTGGGCCCTCTGTCCATGTCACGTCCCCTTCCAGAGCGATTCACACACGATTTGAAACAGTCCTGGGGGTTCCTGGGTATTTCCTGGAACAGGGATGAGGGCAGCCAGGTCTCCCTGGGAGAGACGGCCGGATGGGGCCTGGGGCCAGGCTCCCGGGGGCACAGGAAGGTCCTCTCCCCTGAGAGGTGCTGAGACCAGGCCCAGTCTCCAGGAGAGTGAGGAATCCACCCCCTTTCCCGGGCTCCCAGCACTTCCGCGCAGTCACCAGGCGGCCCCTGGCAAGGAAGGGCCCGGAAGGCCAACACGGCCACAAAGGGCATCCTCTCCCCAGTGTCCTTCTTCGTGGTGAGCCTGGGGGGCACGCTGGTGGGGGTGGTCTTCGCCTTCCTGCTGTCACTGGTGACGCGCTTCACCAAGCACGTGCGCATCATCGAGCCCGGTTTCGTGTTCGTCATCTCCTACCTGTCCTACCTGACGTCTGAGATGCTGTCGCTGTCGGCCATCCTCGCGTGAGTCCCTCCCCCACACGCGAGCTTCTCCACGCCCTCCTGGGCCCGGTGGGGCGAGCCAGCCACGGGGACCCAGGCTCGGAGGGCAGTGCCAGCCACGGGGACCCAGGTGCGGAGGGTGGTGCCAGCCACGGGGACCCAGGTGCGGAGGGCAGTGCCAGCTGCGTGGACACGGGGGGTGTGCATGGCAGGAGCCCCAGGCTCCGCATCACCAAGTTCCCCATGAGCCCCAGCAAGGGGAAGTGGAAGGCCTGCCCTGCCCTCCGTCTGTCGTCTCGCCCGCTCTGCGGGTGCTCCCAAGCTGACTGGGAGTTCAGTGTGGGGCGAAGAATTTGGTTTATTTAAATTTTAAAATAAGGAGTTGGCGTTTCCACTGAATTGTCCGTGGGCTGACAGCAGTACCCACCCTGAGACAGGTCAGGCGGTGAGGGACTTTGGAACCCTTTGTTGCCATCCCTGCTGGCAGGCAGCCCTGGTGCCCATATCTGCATGATGATGACAGCTGCCTGTGGCCCCGCAGAGCCGTGGGCAGGAACCCTGGCGGCCCAGCCTGGCTCGGGAGGGAGAGGCCCCCCTGTAACCAGACGACTGTGACCCTGCCTGCAGGCGCCAGGCTGTGGGGCGCTGGGCGGATGCAGGGGCCTGGGGCGCCGGGCCAGGTGGCCATGTCCTGAAGCGCGTCTGTCCCTGCAGCATCACCTTCTGTGGCATCTGCTGTCAGAAGTACGTGAAGGCCAACATCTCGGAGCAGTCGGCCACCACCGTGCGCTACACCATGAAGATGCTGGCCAGCGGTGCTGAGACCATCATCTTCATGTTCCTGGGTATCTCGGCCGTGAACCCGTTCATCTGGACCTGGAACACGGCCTTTGTGCTCCTGACGCTGGTCTTCATCTCCGTGTACCGGGCCATCGGTGAGGCAGGGCTGGGTTGCGGCCGTGGGACCACGGATGGGCCGGCACCATCTCCGGGAAGGTGCAGGCTTTCCACTGGGCCCAGTGAGATGGAGGCGCAGCCCCACACGAGGCAGAGGAGGACCAATGGTGGTGGCCTCGGGGCTGGGGTGGAAGGCTCTGGAACCCCAAGGGAAACCACTTGGTTTCCCACTGACTCACCTGGATGTGCCTCAAGACAGGGTCAGTGGCTTGGGAGATGGAACAGGAGGCAAGACGGCCCTGCCCCTGCCCAGCCCCATCCCCCAGCACCCGTGTGTGTGATGCACGGAGCGTGTGGGGGAGATGCCAGGCAGCGTGTGGCTCCGGGTGGATGGTGACAAGGGACGTGGCATGGGGACGCCGTATCTAGGGTTGCCGCTGTTCTTCGTCGCCACACGCTTGGCCACCAAGACGCTGTCCCAGACGGGCTGGGGTCCCGCAGCTGGGAGGGCGGCCGGGGAGCTGAGTGCCACCCCATCCACAGGTGTGGTCCCGCCCACAGGCGTGGTCCCGTCCACAGGCATGGTCCTGCCCACAAGCGTGGTCCCATCCACAGGTGTGGTCCTATCCACAGGTGTAGTCCATCCATAGGTGTGATCCCCCACAGGTGTGGTCCTATCCACAGGTGTAGTCCGTCCATAGGTGTGATCCCCCACAGGTGTGGTCCTATCCACAGGTGTAGTCCATCCACAGGTGTGATCCCCCCACAGGTGTGATCCCATCCATAGGTGTGATCCCCGACAGGTGTGGTCCTATCCACAGGTGTGATCCCCCCACAGGTGTGGTCCTGCAGACCTGGCTCCTCAACCGCTACCGCATGGTGCAGCTGGAGCCCATTGACCAGGTGGTCCTGTCCTATGGGGGTCTGCGCGGGGCCGTGGCCTTTGCCCTGGTGGTGCTTCTGGATGGAGAGAAGGTCAAGGAGAAGAACCTGTTTGTCAGCACTACCATCATCGTAGTGTTCTTCACCGTCATCTTCCAGGTGAGGCCCGGCCCAGCCAGCCCTGGGGTCTCGGCCCCGCCCGCAAGGGGCGTCTGGGCCCATCCTGCACTTCAGGACGAGCATTTCCAGGCTCCAGACCCTAATTGGGTTTTATAATTTTAGTAACTGGGAGCCGTTTTGTAGGTTTTCACGTGGCCCCACTGGGGAGGAAGCATAATTGTCCTAAAAACGTTCTTCCCGAGCCTTTGCTGGTGGATGAGGCCCCGGGTGCTGCTTCCTCCTCTGCAAAGCAGGGGCGCAGGTTGCTGGGCGCCTGGAGAGCAGGGAGGGCATCTGCGAGCCCCAGGGCAGGCAGCTCTGTGTGGTGCACCCAGTGGGGCCAGCAGGATGTGGGGGGCTGCCTGGCACCAGGATCACGAGACCCCGTCCTCCAGGGCCTGACCATCAAGCCCCTGGTGCAGTGGCTGAAGGTGAAGAGGAGTGAGCACCGGGAACCCCGGCTCAACGAGAAGCTGCACGGCCGCGTACGTCTGGGGCTCGGGGGATGGCGAGGGGCACTGCATATTCCTCAGGGCTGGGCCGGGAGGGGAGGGGAGGCTGTGTCTGGGGCTGGGGGATTTGTGAGTGGGGCTGGTGGGTTCCTCGGGGCTGGGCTGGGAAGGGAGGGGGGCACGTCATGTTCCCCGGTTGGCCGCCCTAAGATGCTCCCATCTTTCTTCTCTTGAAAGGCTTTCGACCACATCCTCTCGGCCATCGAGGACATATCGGGACAGATAGGGCACAATTATCTCAGAGACAAGTAAGTGACTGGGACTGCCCTGGCTTCTGGGAACATCCTCCACTTGGAAGAGCCGGAAGCCACATGCGTAGCTGTCTGAGTCCAGGGTTGGTCAGGGCTCTGGTGCCCCATGAGGCCAGGTGCCAGGTGTGCCCCTAGACACACAGGTGCCCCGTGAGGCCAGGTGCCAGGTGTGCCCC